ACGCACTCTCGGACAACCACTAAGGGAAACCATGACAGGGCAATGAGCTGAAGAAGAGTTCAAATACCCCACTTGTGGATCCAATTGGCCGTAAGCGGCCTTTGACCCCAGAACGTACGTGTGCATCCTTTGTGTGATGTCATGTGCACGTCAACGTCGTCCATGCCATGGGCCGACGTGGGGATACAAATTGGTGTAGATCCGCAGCGGCCGGCATCCATCAACATGCTGCAGGTGTCAGACATATTGACACATGGCCGCTGAACAGCACTACCGCACTTTTTGGCAAGGCAATCACTATCGATGTCGCAAGGTGAGGATGAATATGTTACACAGACATACTAGCCTAAGCTTCCTACGTGCATCAATGAGCTTTGGCACCAATAACCCTGATGCCGGTTAACCAGTTGTCCTTACTTGCACCATTTTTGATAGGTATTAACCACGGTACACTGGGAACACCTTCACAAGACTTGTCATTTTGGAGATGCCAAATATATCTCACCCCTGGACAGGTGCCATTGAAAAGATATAATCAATGTTATTCACTTCACCTGTCAAGGGTTTTAATATTGTGGCTGATCAGTGTAGCATATTGTAAACATTGTTGGCTACTATTAGTTTTACTAATGCTCAAAAAATTAAGAAAATGTGTGGCCTTGAATAACATTATTTGAGTAGCCAGCCAATGGAAAGGAGAGATTCCACATCAGTTTCCTACTAGTTGCATGTCTTATGGTCCTTCAATAATACATATATGCTTCCTGTCAAGCTAAATCATGACAACCACACAACGGTGAAAGGTGGGGGGAGGAGGGGGACTGTGGAGATTACTTTTCATTTTCTTTTTCTCTTCCTCATTTGACATTTTATTTAGTTTTATGTACTACTGCTGACTTCTACTGTACATGGTCCACTTATAAGATCCCAACTGTTCCAAACATATATTTATTTTAATGCTGTCCATTTGTGTAATTTGCTTATTGCATTGAGTTTATTTGTTGTCAGTGATGGAATATATGTCTGTAGTTTGCTACTTGAAATCACTTTTAAATTAAAAAACAAGTGCTCCCAAAGTGGCATCTCAAATAATTAATCTCAATTAAAAACTAAACAGGAGGGGGAGGGGGGGCTAAAGCATTTTATTTTCACCTTTTTTGGGGCTGAAGAATAGAACATAGGGAGAAAAAAGGCATCTGATGGTAAGTACATTTTTTATAGGTTCTAGATTTATTGCCCACCTCACTATTATTAGGTTGCTGGGGTTATGCAGATTTTTTTTTTTTATTAGATGGGGCTTAGGACTGGGCATGGGCACAATATCCCCTGTATATTCAATTATAGCCCTGACTTGCAACCAATGGGTATGTGCTGAGGGTATATCCCCTTAGGGTTATTATTAATATAATAGCCCCCATCTGTCCTTTATGGAAGAGACTTGGGACAGTTAGGTTCACACCTAGTTATTATAATCATAGCTCCCACAGACTGACCTCAGGCAAGTATCCCTTCTTTAGTGGATATGGGTAAGGGGGATACTATGTTCCTATTTGCTTTTTAATTGAGAATCCCCACTGTGGATTCAGGGGGACACTAGGATGTCCCCCCACATTTTTTTTATGTAATAGCCCCCACCTACTTGTCACAGGGGGAAATCGCAGGATGGCAAGTGTATTTCCACCCTCTATTCTTTTCTGTGCCCCCACTCATGTGCCTCTACCTGATGTCCATGAGTGGAAGCACAGGGAAACATTTGCCAGGCATTCCATATGCATTACTAGCATATGGGCAGTAAGAGCCCAGTTGCTTGTTTCATGTTGATCAGAATGATAAAAATGTAGCCAAGGCTTTTACTCTTTAAAAGAAAAGTTGGTTATTTATCATTTAGTTTATTGATTTATCTCGACTATATATAGATGCTAAATCTGAAGGCAAATATTTGAGTTTGACATACTGCCATAGTATCACTGCTAATGTTACCTGTGACAGCTATTTCTTCTCTCTTATCAGCAAACAATTAACATTTTAACAAATAAATCATACCTTTTTCCTCTACTGAGTAAATCATTACTGGTTTGTGTGTAAAAAGTCTCTTCTTAATCTAAATACATGTTCTACATTTCATGATTTGTTCTTCCTTATACAATCTTAGGTCATTCTTTATTGGTGATTCTGGCAGTCAGCGCATAATCCGATGGTGAGCAGTATGGAAAATGATCCATATGTGGGTATGTGTGTTTAGATCAAACGCATCTAAGAAAGCACCACATGTGTTTTTAATTAGAAAAATTACATCATTTAGATATATAATAGGCAAATCTGTTACTGTAGAGGAAACACTGAACTGTAAATGTGTACGAGATAAATACACTTAAAAATACACTTACGATTTATAGAAAAGAAACAAAGAACACTTTTTTAACACATGATGTGCAAACACTTACTAGAGAAGCAAAACACTGACAAAATAAAATAAAGACTCCTCAAACTGATTCCAATAGATTTCCAAATGTAGGACCCAACATGTGCCCAATAACTTAATAATCTTTTAATATAAGTATTTAACCAGAAAATGTCCATTAAGCATTTTGTTAGTTACCATGTATATCAGGTGGCGTAGATGTAACTAATAACCAATTTTATAGTACTCGTTTTATAAACCTCAGAAGCATGAAAGGCTGAGTTGGTATCGCTAATAATTTAAACTGTAACCTGTAAGATACTGCAACTATATATATATATATTAAAAATCCTCTGTCTGTAATTGTACCTGTAATTAATTACTACATCCTGTAAAACGCTAGAGATAATAGAAATATGTAAGATCTGTTATATAAATAAAAATCTTAATAAAGTGAGGCTACAAACAATGTAAAGATACTATAGTGTAGCTAGCATGTGCCACAAGTATTAGTTATACTTTAACTGATTTCTTCTTGTTTAGAATTAGTTTGCATTTTGCTTCGTTAGTGAACCCTAGACCATTTTATTGAATAGGGCCATTTGTACGAGTATTGATGACAGTTACAAGAGTAGATGCAAAATTGTTGTTTTTTTTTTTTTATTGGACTAACAGAATTTTGAAAAGACAAGCTTTCGAGAGTTACATCCTTTATCAATATATAAATTAGTTTTAAAATAATTATTTTTGACCTCAGTGAAACAAGCACGTTACGAAAACTGTAATGCAAAAAAATGTAAACAATATTCCAGTGTGTTATCAATCTGCCCTTAGATGGGTGAATTGGATTTTTTGAGGTGTTATGCCTTGTTGCTCATAATTTCCTCACTTTTATGACATGCTGCACATCACAAATGCGCAAACGTCTATGTCTCTTCTCCTGAATTGCTAATATTATTTAGCAAGACTGCAAATATTTTAATGTTATTCTTGCAGTTTGAACAGAGAAATATTTATTAGCACTGAAAAAATAAATTCACTTTAATTATTTTTTATTTAATATACTCTCCCTAATCCAGGCCACGGTACACAGGTTAACAATCATACAGTGTGTATATTAAACATTAGAATCAGGTGGATGCAGAAAAAATGCAATGTGCTTCAGGGGGAAGAATAATAGATGCCATGGCAATGGATATATTGGTAGGGACTAGAGACCACGGCTTCAAAGCGAGGTCAGATGAGTTGAACTGAGAGAATCTGGTGAGGAGAAGATCAGTTGAGGTCAGGGAAGGGATTTAGAAATGGTGACTCACACAGAAGAATGGTGTGTATACACATAGTGACATTCTTTATTGGCATAGATCATATTTCATATTAGTGGACATTATATTACTGAACACAGACGTAATCAATATTTTAAATATCTAAATATAATACAAATGTTTAATTTGTGTATTGTAAGCTTTATCAATATATTTTATTGCGTACTTATTTTGTTTTATTTTAATTATGTGTGTACTTGTTCATTTAGGTGCATTTATCGTTTGTCTTTACAGCGCTTTACTCATTTGGTGCTTTCCTTAATTGCTAGATAATTTTACTCAAATAATATTTCTTGCAGATTTAGTCACGGAATGGGATGAAAGCTTTTCTGCTACTTCCTTGTTTGCAGATCTCACTGCAGCAGCTGTAACTGCTAATTTCCTTGTGGATACATCATTATGAAGATACTTCTTCCAAGCGACCACTCAAATTGCGGATAAACTTCAGTTCATATCAAAACAAATCTCCAATTTTAAGGCTTTTCTGTAATACATTGCTTATGTTGAATTCATACTGTTGAATAGAGTTGTACATTAAGCTTTGTCTGAATTGCAATTTGTCCAAATTTTGAGCAATTGGCAAGTCAGACGAAATCCGTAACTGAATCAGGAAACAAATAAAACTAGCAATTAATGAGCCAGTTTGGCGTTTCATGAGTTCTGTTATTGGCATCAGAAAAGGAGGGACATAGTGGGGAACAAGCTGTTCTTTTAGGTGGGGGTCAAATAATTTTTAGTTTGTCATGATTGACAAGACGTTTCCCCAACGATGTAGACTGGCTCTCCTGTCCAATCAAGAGGTAGGAAAAAGATGATTGATGGTTAGGGGACAATCACTAGTTAAGATCACAGATTAAGTGAGTAGTAACCAATAGAGGGAGAAAAGGAGGTGCAGTTAAAAATCTATGTTTTCAAGCAGGATTCTTTCAGACACTTACTTCAGCTATTGAGGGAGACAGACCAGCAGACAGTGATTGGTTTTACCATTGCTGTGCTTGTGTTGGAATGGGAGATAGTCTATGTCAATAATCCCAGTGCGAGACTGGCACAGTGCTTTGGTTACTGCCTACCCAGTGACAGTGCCACTTACACCAACTTTGATTCACTGATTTTTTTTAATTTCATTTGAGAGGCAGGTTATTTGATTTACAATGTGCTTCAGTGACACTATTTGTGCTTTGCAAATTGTAAAACAGTTTGTCGCACAAGTGAACAATGGACTGAGCTACACAGGTGTTTTATTTCTGGCTACAAATATATGTCTGTATATAGGTCAGTTTGGGTGTGTCAGTGTGTATTTGTCACTGGTCACTTGTATCTGAGTTTGTGTGCATGTATCAGTATGCCTATGTGTGTGTCAGTGTCTTTGTATGTTTCAACATGTGTATCTCTGTGTCAGGGGGTGTGTATATTGGTATATATCTGAGTGTATCTATTCGTGTGTTTATGTTTCACTGTGTATCTGAATGGGTGTGTGTCATTTTATCTGTCAGTGTGTTTAAATGAGTGTATCTCGGTGTGTTAATGTGTGTATATCTGTGGCATTGTATGGGTGTATTTGCATACATCCCAGCAATCAAAACACATGACAACAAACTCCTGCAATAAATACAAACATTACATATAATTACACCCCTGCATTAAAATTTTAAATGATATACAAAAAAAATCTACACACACACACACACACACACACAACTCTGCATTCAAACAAACACTACACAGAAGTACAATACCACATTCCAATGTCAACAGTACATACAAATACACCCCTACATGCACACATGTACTCTACACAAAAAAGCATGGGAGTTTGACAGATGGGGGATCTACCTTTTGGCCAGTCATTCAAAAATGAATTTCCAAATGACTTGTCTAACAAATTTTAATGATGACTTCTGTAGATAAATCACATGGAAACTTTGTTTCTCTCATTGTAACTGCAGCCGGTTCCCCTATTTACCACTATAACGTCTTAAAGCATAGAACTTAGCAGGGCTAACCATACAGGTATCTTAGCCATAATATTATATAGTTAGTAAGAGTTTCTCTATTTGAAATATATAAATAATCGAGAATACAATATAAAATAGGGATTGTCTTGAAAGCAATAAAGTTTTGCCTTTTAAATATATTATTAAATATAGACATAAAATCCATTACAATAATTTATAGCAGAGTTTATAAGATTAAATCATATGCTTGCAATATCAGTAAATAGAATAACATACCCTCCTGAACATGTCAACCTCTCAATCATGGTAACATGGAGCAGTATCTCTGTCTCCAAAATCTCTCCTCTGTCCTAATATTAATAAGTATACATATTTATACCTTAGATAGATGTTCAATTAGGTCATTTTTAGGACCTACCTTAATTTGGCAAAGATTCAAAGGCCATAACTTGGTCATTTCCCATGGAGACATCCTATCTATGTTTAGACTAAAATGTAAGGGTGCAAATGACATGGGGAATTCCCTGACTTGGAGAATTACCCTAAAATAGGACAATATGGCACCCTAGAGTCTGAACACCTTATTCACTGAATATGAGTAAGAGGTCATTTATTAAAGAAACGTGGTATGAAAAACAATATATGTTAAATTCTAACAACTTGTCAGTTTGCAAAATCTCTTAAAGCCAAAGTACACAGTTTAAGAAATACTTTTTATTCTAATACTTGTATTATTTGCATTTGCCCAACAGTATTGAATCATATGGAAAGCTTAATAAATCAAGACCTAAGTGAGGAACCAGCAAAGTATAGTTTGTCAGTGCTATCACTGAAGAGGTAGTTAAATCTCCAATGTCTGGTCTTGGTGGTGGCGGTGATGAATCTGATAATGAGATTTCTATTTTCGTCACTACTGTAGAAATAGTTTATTTCCTTCTGGCACAGGAGAAACTCGAGTATGAGCCTTATGAATTACAAGAGCACAGTGTGGAGAGGACAGACAGTAGTCCACTATTTTTTCCAGCTAGTGTGTACTCTCCTCCTGCATCTCCTCCACCCAATCTAAGTGCATCTTTATGTGCTTTTGAATGGTCTCATCCAATAATGACAGGTGTAACATAATTTGCTACCAGTGTTACAAGTTTCTAAGCCACTTCCATTATGCTTTACAACTTCCACTACCATCGCCACTAGTATCATTTACATAACCAACCAAGTGCTTGCGTAGACTAGAGTTGCAATAACTTTCACAGCCCAGCCACTGTGACCTACTTGCCTTTAAAATGAACATACTTTTTTTTTTAAAAGAATCATAGTTTGAAACCATTTTTAAATTCCAGTAAACACTTTAACAGGAACTATGTATTCCTCACATCTGTTGGCCACGTGCAGTACCATATAACAATAAGTCATAGGTAGATCTTTATTTGTGATGAAATTTATTGCAAATAATTGTTAAACCAGAAAAAGAGAGTTTGCAAAATATCTCTTTATCCTTAACCTTAAAACAAGCAACTGAACTCTAAACACATGAACTCTAACGGAAAGGAAAGTGCCTTTTTAAAATTATTTGTGGGCATAACCCCAGATATATTTGAGCGTTTATAGAGCAACAATCTCCCTATATTTTCTTACATAGGAGTTTCTATTAGAACATTAGACAACATTTCTATACTACAACTCCATAACAGAATAATTTAGCATTCCAAGAAATATGTCATTCATTATCAGTCTTTTTTGCTTAATAGAGCCAATAAGAGGACATTTAAAGGTCAGTGCTGTAAATTCTTCATTAATTGTAATAAAAGACACATTTCTCCCAGCCTGTGCAATATAGAGGGCTATAGACAAGCATGCATCAAGAGTCACAAACATTAGATGGATTGCTGACTTGTATCCTAGCAGTGTCAGACATTAATGATGTTCCAATGAGTTGGAGATAAACACATACCTTTGAACTCTGCATGGGTCCATTTTTGTTCTCATGAAAAAAGCCCATTATATGGTTTGCATTTGGGTTTCCAGAAATGCAGTCCCTCTACTTTTAGAAGTAAAAAAACTAAACAAAAACCTTTTTTTCTTTTTTATACACAAGGAGGTAATGTTTCTGAGAACATTAGTATCCTTTAATATTGACTGATGATGTTTTATTTAACAAAGAGTGCAGCAGGGAAAATAGAATAAGTTGAGATATAATCGTCTTGTACTCTGGCTTAGGCTAATTTGATATGGTTCCTTCATCAGCATTTACTCTGCTTCACTTGTTGTAAGGCAAACTAAAGAACCTTTTCATGGGTTTTCCTTAGTTTCCATTTTTCTTGTCTTATGTCTGACAGCTTTGTCCCAGCCTGACATTAATTGATAGGTGACCATGACTTTGTATTGTCGGAATCAAATGTCCTTCCATACTCTGCTTGTGTTCATGCCTATAATAAACATATGTATTCTAGTGCTTTCCATGACACGTTCTTATAAAAATAGTGTAAAATGCATTGGTTCATTGCCATTTCACTTGCTTGGTTGGTGGTTATTCAACTTAAGATGCATCTCATTTGTCACACCCAGCCACTTAAAGTGTTTATAAAGGAGTCCTTTTGTGGACTTGTGATGCAACTTTTAAACTGGAGTTGAAGAAATTACTTGAAACCAGTCCATGTTCACACTATGCTCAAGGAGCACCATCAAACTTAAAATATGATTTGTTATGCAGTGCTAACATGTTAAATACCAAATGCCACATTTTGCCACCATCACTGCCTAATCCCTAAATGCTCTAGGCAACTAACCAGTAGAAACTAATTTTCGCACAACAAAGAAACCGCTATTTGTTTATTTATTATTCGTCTATACATCCCTTCAACATACCTTACTGGAGCAGGTAATTCTATATTGGAATAGAATACTTAAAGGAACACTCCAAACTTCATAACCACTAGATTGTGTTGCAGTGGTTATGGTGATAGGCGTGCTCTGACTCCCCAATGTAAGAAGTCAAACCTTTTAGTAACAGTTTGACTTATTACCTGAAGTCGTTCAGGTACAATTTCCCACTTCTTATCATTCAGATTAGCTAGAAGCATTTGCTCCCAAGCTAATAATGCTAATACTAAAAGGGCTTACTGGCTCACTGCCAGTCTTACTTTATTGAAGAGAGCTTCCAAATTAGAAGAGGCATGTGGTGGTGCTTGGAGTACCCCAGGTAGGAAGTCAAGCTGTTACTAAATGGTTAAGAGCGTCTGGGGACTCCTGGCATGATAATCACTGCAGTGGCTATGGTGCTTGGAATGTTCCTTTAAGCTGTGATGGTCACCTCTGGTTAGAAGAGAGTCCTGCAGACCCCGATTTTTTTCCACTTCCTCACACCACCATGATGTCGTGAGGGATAAGGAATGTGTGTCATTGCTGCCATCTGGTTTTGCAAAACTCTGGTTTTATTTCATGGGATGACTTTTTCCAGTCTTGTGTATCAGTTCTTGGGCTCTTGGTATCTTAACTTAATGAAAATTAAAAACATTGCACTTCAAAAAGCCTATGTCAATCAGTAGCTCCCTGTAACGGATCACCTGGCACCCCGACTGGGTACCTCCGTTGATGGATGCTCCTAGCGCTTCTTGAGGGCTCCAAGCACTTTAGTCGACACCACAACCACTGCAGGCAGAACCTCTCTTCCTTCCGAGTGAAGCAGGAACAAGCTCTTAAAAGAGCTTAGGAGTGATTATAGAAATTAATATGCAGAGCATAGCAATCCCTTGTAGCAGATTCCCCCCAATAAGAGACAGGACACCAAATTGAGGGTGAAGTAGAACTGTCAAACTTTATTTTACTCGGGACTAGCCCATATGGTCATTACATTAACATTGCTGTGAAAATTCAATAAATTTACAATACAATCAAATCATAGCAGGCAACATACAATGACTTCTTAGAACATAATTACATATTTATAAATGAGTGGGGGAAGACCATAATTAACACAACATGTCTCTCCTGCATGCAGAATTAGCGATATGCAAATCTACCCGAATATGCAAATGACCAGTCTTGCTATTCAGGTAGTGCATATTACTGTTGCTACCAACAGAGGGCACTACACAAGCTCCATAGCCAAATCCACCATCCAACTATGGTAGCAATCCTCAGCAGTACAGGAGAGCAGGCAATACATCCCAGGGGAGGAGGCTGGCAATCAGTCTTCTCCAATGCCCAGTGGCGAGGCTGGTTCCGCCACATTTCTCCCCTTTTCCAAACAGACTAACAGGGTATCTGACCTCCTGCTGGTCAGTGCCCTGGTTAGTCCAGCAACCCACCCACGAAGCACAAACAGTAATACAGCCCACCCACAATACATGGTTACTACACCTGGGTAAAAGATTAGTTCGTCCATGTCCAGGTGCCTAACTACAGCTGTGTGGAGTACTGACAGGCTGCCTTGGTGGGTTGCTGAGTGGGCAGAGACCTGCAGTACTCTGCCCTGGTGCCAGCGCTACCATGGGAGTAGCCTGATTGGAGCCATGCTGAAAAGAAGAGTTGGTAGACTCCT